GTGAGACTACGCCTGGCTACGCTTGGCCTCGGGCAAAGCCAGGCTTCGGTGCTGGTGTCATTAGCCGGTGCCGTTCCGCAAGCCTCTTGAGCCTCTTGAGCTTAAAAACTTAAAACCCTGAAGACCCCTCTGAAGGCGATTGCCTATCAGCTGGTACGCCCTGTTAATCCCAGACAACCACTAATCACTTGGCTGGCGTTTTAGGTTTTTCCGAGTGGACATCGCAGTTGCCAATCCCACAGATAACAAAATAAAGAGTATAGAGTTCTTAAGGGAGGGGGGTTCAAGGGGGGTAGGTACCCAGGGAGCCTTAAGGAAGCTTAGGGAGTAGTAGGGAGTGTTAGGGAACCTTGGGTTGCATACCCCCCTTGAAGCCCCCCCCCCCCTTAAGAACCCTCTAAAAAGAGAGGAAAAGAGAAAGAGAGAGAGAGAGAGAGAGGGAGAGGGAGAGGGAGAGGGAGAGGGAGAGGGAGAGGGAGAGGGGGAGGGAGAGGGAGAGGGAGAGGGAGAGGGAGAGGGAGAGAGGAGGGAGGGAGCAACCTCTGACCCTGATAAAAGCTCGTAAAAAGTCCCTAAGAGCCTCCCTAAGTGACGGCACTCGAAGGCCCGCAGGCTCGTCTTAAAACCCCTGAAGATCCCTACGTACCGCATCTCCACGCGAAGGATTTCGAAGCCTCAGCCGATGTCCCGGTCGACACGGTTGAAAAAGTGGACGCTGTGGAGCCCTGAGTTGGTTAGGTCTCGGGGCCTCCGGTGGCAAAAGAGGTATTCGAATGTAGGACTCCTTGGGTAGGAATGACCCATCCTTCGCCAAAGCCCTACGATTCCAAACGCTGGTGTCCTAAATCTCGCCAACCTTGAACCCGCAAGGTCTATAGTGCCAGGACCCGTTGTTGGATTTAAGACAGGATTGCCCTCCGCAAGCCGGTGTCTCTGGCACCTTGTAGCATTCGAAGTACGTCGCACCTAGTATGGGCAAGGACTTCTCGTTGGCTCGTTTAAGCCCTTGCATGGTTAGGGTATAGCAACGCACAAAACCGGAAAGTGACAGAAGGCATGTTCCCCAGAGAGAAAGCTCACGAGCGTCCTGTCGAACTCGTTAACGCAGGAAGGTTCACGTAGGCCAATGAACTTCTGGAGTCATGAGACCACATGAGACCAGGTTCAAGCGGAGCAGGACTCTGAGGCGCTGCCACAGAGTCTCATCTGCCTCTGACTCTCATGGTTCCGGTGCGGCTTTGGATTGTGTTCTTAGGGGCTCTTCTGGTGATGGCTCAAAAGACCGGGCAAACCAAAGACATTGGCCCAAGGATGCAGTCTACGTCTGTCGCCTCCGGGGAGATAGAGGCACGCACTCGACGGCTTTGGAGCGACAAGGTCTTTAAGTTTTTGTTGTCCCTGGACCTGTTGTCCACATGAGACATGTCACGAGACAGGCTTCGATGGCCTGTAGCACCCACAGACGCAGCTAAAGGATACCAAATAACAGGAGATGGGGAGTCCGGCGATCCGGAAGGTACACGACCTTAACTCACTAGAAGACGCGCTGTTAACTGCTTGGGGGTCGAAAGTCGTCATCCAATAATCACTTGCAACACTTGCCGCGGTTTTGGGAACACATGGTGCGCGTGCGTGCATGCGTGCTTGACAACATGCTGCAGGAGGTTGACATCCCGAACCTGCCGGTTATAGAGTCTGGGGTCTTCCAACCCTGAACATCCGCAAGCCTTAAACACCCCACCCCCATCCCCCCAAAAAAAACCTGGAGCTCCAAAACCTGTAAAAACCTCAGACCCCAAACCCCCCCAAAACCCAACCCACAAACCCCTATGAGCACTAAGCTTAAACTTTTAAGAGCTCTTAGCCCCGATGCATTTTGCATCTAGGGCTGAGGGTATAAGACTTCGACACTACCAAGATGATAGCCAGAAATGCAAAATCCCGAACCTTGCTTTCAGATACAATCAAAAACGCTCTTAGCATTCTAATCTCCGCAGCCAAAGACTAAGCAATTGAGGGGCTTCTGTCTTTAGCAAGTTTTGCCCTTCGGTGTAGAAATTTGGGTCTTCAAGATCACACAGGTGTGACTCGATAGAGCGTCGGCCAGTTGATGTTGTTTTTGAACTGTTCCACGTTAGGACCCCTGGCTGGATTCTTGTGTCTGAACTTACACACCTAATCTACCCTGCTGCCTCGAGGTGGTCATCCCAGACGACGTCGTGTCAGGTGATACTTTCCTGGCTCCTCAGACTGCCGATGTTGAACACCATTTTGAAATTGTTGGGAGTTCAGCTGTCGTCGAACATCGACGTGCGAAAACCTCTGACGTTCTCGCTCTCTGACGTTCTGGCTCTCTCGCTCTCTCTTCTCGCTGTCTCACTGTCTCTCTGTCTCTCTGTCTCGCTCGCTCACTCATTCACTCACTCATTCACATGAACACAGAGACAGCGAATTCCAACCCTACTTACTTCTCAGATCCCCGCACCTCCAAAGCCTGGACTCAGATCTGAAGGATGGTGGATTGTCAGGTGAAGTCCCGCTCCACGAGAGGTTGGGTTTAGAACTTTTGCTTACCCACCCGCCCATCAAGCTCACGTCTACACTTCCTCTACATTCTTACATGGATTCTCGCAGGCTTCCTCTTCATGTGTAGGAAGTTTGAAGTAGGGCTCTTCAGCTCGAGCTATTCTTATCGAAACTTGAGAAGCTACACCAAGGGTCATGCAATACAGATCTAAAGCCGAGGTCGTTCTGGACGACGGAAGAGAGCTGGAGGTTGCTGTGCCAGAGGGTTGTGGACCTGGTTCTGTGCCTCGGCTGCTCCAAGAGTTTAAGTTGCTTGCATAGGGGCTTTGAGGATGGTGGAGGGGTTTCGAGCAGTGGCTCCGCGTGGTTGTTCTTTCTCCTGCAATGAATCATCTTCAGCAGCTTGCAGCTGAAAATGATTCGGAGCGCCGGTTCCTGGCAGATGTACTTCTGCGAGGTCATCATCGTCAACACCACTGAGGATGATGCCTCTTCCGCGGCGAAGGAGGAGCACATGGGGATGCGTGGGAGAGGGACTCGGTTTTTCCCGTTCACTGCCATGGCCCCTTCTTAGGCCCCGTGTGGCTGCACAGGCCCAAGAGCTGCTCCTACGGTTGAGTTTAGACGGATTCTGGCCAAGTACATGCGTAGCGTACAAATCCTCCTTGCAATCTGAAGCTGACATTCGCAATGTGGTCTGCAACCAACTCTTTAGTCCTTTACAGGCTGCTCAACGGCTGTTAGGGGTGTTAAATGTTGATTCCGGACGTTTGGTTGCGTACGGCGCCATCCTAGATGTAAAAGCTCGGCCCGAAAAAACGATGACCGTGCGCCCTGGTATTCAGCCGCTTACGAGATCTGGTTTAGACAATTCCCCCCCAGTTGAGTATAGGGCTGTCAGGATCTAGTAGCCACGAAGTCTGAAATTGCACTTCAGCTCAAAGAATTCACAAGACGGCCGCCGATTTCGCTTGGCCTCTTCTAAATTGCTATGCCGGCCATGCAGGTAACATGGCAAACCCTGATTGCACCTGTATGCATAAAAAAGCCTTGTATACGAAGTCCTGGCAAGGAGCCTGTCGCGTCTCTTGAGGTTCCCTGTGCCGCAGCGAGTGGTGCTTGGGGTGGGGCTGCTTTGGGGGAGGGCATGTTTAGAGCTCCGGGGCCGAAAGGCCGAAATCGGCCGGGGCGGTTTTGGGATTAGCCCCCCGACTCTCTGGGTCCAGAAAAGGGACCATGAAGCGTGATTTGTTCATGCTCCAGGGGTTTGAGCTTTGCGAGGCTTGCCCGGGTTTTTGCAAATCTCAGGGTTTAGGGCTTCCAAGGCACCGCCACCGACGAGCACGCTGCCGCCACCGACGAGCACACAGCCGCCCACGCCTGCCGAACCGCAAGCGAGAGAGGTGGCGCAGGTACCCCGGATTTCTGTGGGGTTTGATTGCTCCTGCTAGCTTTGGGGCGCGAGAAGTATTCGAACTTTAGCTCGTGGCGGGTGGACTCTGCTTGGGTTTGCAGGTTTGGGATGATGAGGCCCTCAGCTTGCTTCGTGTCCAAAAAAGTTGTAGCAACTTGCTTGGCTGTGCTCTAAGCCTGCACAAGATGGTTGGCAGGGTTTTGGTGCTGGAATCGTTGAAGGTCTCGACGCTCGGGGCCTGCACTCGTGTTACAGCTTACAACGCTCATCCCCAAAATCCACCTGAACCTTCTGACCTGAACCTTGTGAAGCCAGACATGTCTGTCGAGGAGGATGCCAAGCATGATTGAGTGCCCAAGAGCCTGGAGTGGTTTTCTGGGACATGGGACAGACAGTTCAGGATCAGTTTAAGGTTGCCAGCTTGAGGGTTCTAGATTTGGGGCTTTCCTTCCAGCCCCCTGACCCGAAGGCCCTGAACCCGTGCGCTAGCTAAAAAGCCCTGAGCCGTATACGTGTCATGCATGATTCATGCCTTCAATTCCAACAATGGCATCTTGAGAGGCTGTGGAGACCATTGAAATCGGCATAACTGTTCCTGTGGCTCGGTCTCTTATCGGTTTCATGCTTTTCATGCTGTTGCATAGGGGGGGGGGGGGGGGGGGGGGCGCTTGGAATGTCAGTGCAGAAGGAATCCTCACAGCGTCGCACTAAACTCTGGTTGGATGCTGTCTTTGAGAGGCGGCTTTCTGCATCAACAGTTGAACGGTGACTTCTGGAGTTCTCAAGTCCGGAATTCTGAAAACGGGCTCGATGGCCCAAGCAACAACTGATTCGTGAAGGTTTGGATGCTATCGAGTGTTTTTTCTTAAAGGTGGACAGTTCCTGCCAACGGCTATCTGGTTCATCTCCCGTTGTGGAACGCAGTTGTCCCGCCCATGTTACAATGCGGCTTGTAGTTCGTCACGAAGCCTCGCAAGAACTTTCGCCTTGCGTCATGGGTTCTTGCTGCTCAAACCACACAGATCTCCTACAGATCTCCCCCTGATCCCCCAACTTTGCGATGGCGGTCCAGGGTTCTTCGCTCTTTTCGCAGCTTCTCCAGGTCGGTTCGAAAGCGGGTGACACTTTCACCGCGGAGTGGAACGGCCGCTCAGCTTGGGAGCTGAAAACTATAGAACAAGCTGCCTGCAATACTGACGTGTAACGAGCATGAAGGAATTTTTAAGACGCCTCGGCGAGAAATTGAAAAAGATTGAGCTATGCAGAGATGCCAAATGTAACCCCTCATTTGAAACAGCATGGAGAAAGACTTTACACACCGCATCAAAACAGCTTCCAGCTTCCCCAAGGCCGGCCCTTCGAGGTGAAAGTGCCACTGGGCAGTGGAGCTGGCTCCCTGATTACGGTGCAGGCCGGTTTGTTTGGATGGAGACCTGGCAGCCCACATTGATGAAGGGCAAGTTAATACATGTACAGTTGCACGTCGTTTGCCGCGCCCGTCAATGTACACGGGGGAGAAGGGAGGGTGGAGGAGCACTCGGAGCCTCTGAAGTGCCAAGTTGCCGTCGAAGTTTCAGCGAGATTCGTAGCCATCGGGTTTTCGGGCCCTCGTCCGAAACCCCGAGCCGAGTTCAACACCCTCAACTCAGCCCTAAGCTGCAAGCTGTATCTTGTATCTACCACAGCCCTCCGCCCTGAACCTTGTGCACCGTATCCTGCCGAAACCCATAGAGTTCCAGAAAGCTTGAATATGAAACAGCATGAACAAGACAGAGTCCTTGGATGGACTGTGCAGCCTCGTGAAACCCAGAGAACGACCTTTGGATCTACGCAGGTTCCACTAGAGCCTGATGTGGAGGCACGCGCACAGGTTTGAAAGGGTCCGTGGGGCTCTGATGTAGTGTGGTCCTGGGAGTCTTGGGTCAGGCTTCACTCTACGGCGACCTTCGGTTCCTTCGGTTGCCCAGAAATGGTGCTTGACGTGTGACGGTTGGAAGTTTGGGGCTGTTCGAAGGGGTTTCGATGAGAATCCGGACTTCAACTGTTTTTTTTTCTCCGTTTGGCCCTTGGAACTCTCTTTGAACGCTAGGAATCTGCCCAAGCAAAACCCGGCTGAACAGCAAGGGCCTCTAGCAAACCGGATCGACACCACACAAGAAGGATCTCAGACAGAACCCCGAGACACAAAACCATGAACCCCCCACACGCCCACCAGGACTTTGAGATCACGGCATCTACGGGCACATCCTTGGGTCAGGACCATGCGCATCGTTGGCAAGGATTTTAAGACTATAGCTCCAGGACTCAAAATGACTTTGACTTCATAGCTGACAAAGACTATCAAAGGGGTAGAGTCCCAGGTTCTTATCGACATGATCTCATATGCAGGAATTTTCACGACGCAAACTTCTGTCCAAAAAGCCTAAAGTGTTGACGGAATATAGGATCTCAGTGATAGTTTGTTAAAATGGGGGTTGGTGGCGGCAGTTCAGCGTAACAGGCCTCCATTATCTTGAGGCTTCTCGTGTGCAGAACTCGGCCACCCACAAGCTCTCCGATGCCTCTGAGAACCCTCTCGGCTCCGCGGCTCCGCAGGACGAGGCGCTCGAGTCCCCCAAGGCCTCCAAGCCCATGGAGCCGGCGGAGCCCATTCTGGAGGAGCCTGCAAGTTCGTCCTTGACCGTGGACCGATCCGAGGCAGGCCTTGCTGGGGTGGGGTCTGCACTCAGTTTTCGAAACGTCTTAAAGCTAGCCCTCTTCAGCCCTCTCAAGCCCTTAGCTGCCTCAGCTCTATAGACCCGTGACGCACAGAGGCGGTGACAGAGCCAACCACAGAGCCTGTCGCAGAGCCCGTGGCCGAGTCCGCGGTGGAGCCGCCTGTGGAGCCGCCTGCGGAGACGGTGGCGGAGCCGGTGGCGGAGCCGGTGGCGGAGCCGGTGGCGGAGCCGGTGGCGGAGCCGGTTGCAGCAGCCAGTGCTCCGGAGCAGGCGCCAGAGCATAGACAGATTCCCAAGCAGGAAAAGCACACGCGAGCCTCCAAAGGCCAAGAGATTCCTTAGGTTTTGCTGAAACAAGGCTCAAGTCGTTTACGGATGTAACTTGACATGTCCTCTTTAACCCCGAGCCCAGCTCAATGGGCCAGGTGCCCCTGGAGCCGAGACCGGAGCGCGAGATGAGCTTGGGCTGAGCCAAATACCTCATAAGCCCAGGGCTTCAGGAGTTCAAGTTTGCATCCTACAGGGGCATTCTACAGGAGCAGTTTTGACTCTGAACGCGCACTTCTGGGATCGTATGAAATTGGGCGAGTTTGGGGTGCATTGGGCCCCTCTCCTCAAGCTTCCAGGTTCTTGTGCGCATTCCGCACTACATGACCCGAGAACAAGAGTTCTGAAACACCAGCCAGCACAATTACACCTTTCAACTCATTCTCAAACCTTAAATCCATGTCTGAACTGTGGCCCTTACGTTACGTACTATCCCCAACAGCGTTTGACGTTCAAAACCTGAGATCTGAATCGAACCACACCATTAACTCGACAATGCCCAAGCCCCCAGAAATGCCCATGGTACAGGCTTGGTTCCAGGGGGTGATGTTGAGTGATTCGGGTCCTTGCAGCTTGGGTTTCGTCCCCAAGCCCTCCCAAGTCCTTCAAGCTCCCAAGGAAGCAGTTGCAGCTGCCCGTGGAGGCCTCCTGCAGTTGCAGCTAGCCCTCGCAGTCGGAGTGACCTGTAGCTTCGAACAGGCTCAAAGGCTTTGGCTCGCTTGAGAAGTGTGAGAAGTGGAGTAGTATCTTATAAGAATATTGCTAGTAGTTTAGACAGGCCTTCAGCTTGCCCGAGTCGCGAGCCTTAAGCCCAGAAAACACTGGTGAAGCTCCGTAGGCTCTTACAGCTGGGAAGGGCAAACTATTTTGAAACAATAATGGCATTCTTCTTCCCTTCGGCCTCCTTGTCTCATGAGGAGGCCGAGTCATCCAGTTCCTGTAGTCCACGTAGCATTGCAGCAAGAACTCGCAAGAACTCCATGGACATCCTCTGTGAGACTGAATGCGTGGTTTGATACTGGAGAATTTCCCCCCCCCCCCCCCCCGAATCTGATCCTATGCCTCTCCCAACAGCTTCAGCACAGTGCAGGCCGAGGAGGTCTCCCCCGGCTCGCCACTGAAGCGGCCAGCCACGAACCGGAGCGTCACCACAAACAGGAGCACAGCACGGGCTCAGCACGCGTCTCTGAGTTGTCTAGACTCCTAAGTCCGCCACCCTGAAGTGACCCCCCCACACACACGCACCCACACGCGCACACGCACACATGCACGCACGCACGCACGCACGCACGCACGCACGCACGCACGCACGCACGCACGCACGCACGCACGCACGCACGCACGCACGCACGCACGCACTCACGCACGCACGCACGCACGCACGCACGCACGCACGCACGCACGCACGCACGCACGCACGCACGCACGCACGCACGCACGCACGCACCCACACACACACACACACACACACACACACACACACACAATGTAGTTCGGCAATGGTCGGCATGCGCTTGTATTGAGGACCTATGTTCACGGTTCTCTTCTGTTCATGCTTGCAGCCACCAACTCACAACGAAGTACACAGCGCAGTGTGTTGCAGCCAAGGTTAGATGTTACTGCCAGCATCCGCCTTAAACCATGTATATACACGTACACGTATGTAAGATGCAACATGTATATAGACAAACACCCCTTTTAAACGACAACCGGGATGCGTGTCAGTGTTGGCTGAGTGCACCAGGCCTGTCTGACTCGTCTTATATACAGAACCGCCTGTTGTTTCCCAACACGGCGGGAGGAAACTTGGAAAGGATGCTTGTCTTAGTTCCGTTGCCTGTGTGTCTGTGTGTGTCTGTGTGTGTGTGTGTGTGTGGTAGACGTTGACGTCTGGATTCATGTTTTCAGAGCTACGTCGGGCTTAGAGGGCAAGAGTCAACATTCTGCCCGAAGGAGTCTCCCTGGACCTCCGACGGAAACAGCTCCGTCGAACACGGTGGCTTGGCGATGCTCGCTACCAACTTTCCAAAGCCCTTCTTGTCCAGCAGTGAGGGCTTAAGAGGTAAAAGGGTTTGCAAGTGTAAAGCTGAAAGGGTTGAGGAGTTGGGGAGACTAAAATTGATAGAGGGGGCTAAGCATCTGACGCTCCTTGACCTTGGCACGGAAGTGTTGTTGGGGTAGCCCTCCAGGGAGCTGGGAAAGTTTCTGCGCTGGTCTCCTTGAAACCTCCAACACAACTCCAGGTCGATCGAGTTGTGCACTGTTTTGGGTCTAGATGGCTTGGGCATGAGGCATGTGGTGCACAATTTGTGAGAATCGGACAATGGTTGAGGTCACATGTATACTTCATCCGGATGACAAGCTCAGGTGCCTTACATGTTGAAATCCGACAGAGGCCGTTTTCATAAGCTGTACTTTTTGTAGGAGATGTCGAGTGTAGCAGGGTTTGGACTTCAGGTATAGGTGCTGAATGCTCTGAGGTCAAGAGGCGAGACTGGGCCGACGAGGAGATGGCAGCGGCCAAGTGGCTTCTGGAAGCACAGGTGGGATTCGTGGCCTCAGGGAGTTGGACGTGCAAGGATTAAACGTATTAATCTCTCAAGCCGCTAGCTTCGGCCTTCTATAGTTGCAAATCACGAGCACAGCGGCTCTTGAAGAAAACCGCCAGAAAGAGCACAATTCCAGACCACAAGCTGCCGAAAACAACACCACCAAAAAGCACGCTTGAGGATCATAATCTCCACTCACGAGGCAACAACACCACCAGAACACACACACACACACAGACACACACAGACACACACAGACACACACACACACACACACACACACACAGACACACACAGACACCGACACACACAGACACCTACACACACACACAGACACACACAGACACACACACAGACACACACACACACACAGACCCAATCCACACACACACACACACACACACACACAGAGACACCCAGAACACACAGAGACACACACACACAGCACACATACACACATACACACCACACACACACGCACCACACACTCATACAGAACACACGACACACACACACCACACCCACTCGACACACACACACACACACAAACACCCCCACACCACACACACTCACACACACGCGTCACACACACACACACACACACACCACGCACGCAACTCACTCACGCACTCAAACTCACGCACTCACGCACCACAGCACACACCGCACTCACGCACGCGCACGTCACTCACGCGGCACGCTTTCCACCGGGCAACTCGGCACGCGGTCACGGCTGGCACGCTGGCACGCGGGCACGCGGGCAGCGCGGCCCCGCACGCGTCACGCTCACAAGCTCTCACGCTCTGCTCACACGCACAACACCACGCACGTCTCACACTCACACTCACTACTCACACTCCACACAGAGAACACACGAGACACACGACGAGCCACACCCAGAGACACACACAGAGACACACAGACACATGACACACACACAGAGACACACACACAGAGACACACACACCACACACCGAGACACACACACAGACCACACACATAGACACACACACAGACACACACACACACACACAACACACACACACACACACAGACACACACACACACACACAGACACACACAGACACACACAGACACACACAGACACACACAGACAGACACAGACGCAGACCACCGTCTGCAAAGCACGAGCACAAACAACACCATAAACACATAATAACACATATCTCCGGCCCAAGCAAAAGGTTCGAGCTTGGCTTATTCGTGTCAGTCCGAACACTTGGACCACAGCTGAGCAAATCATGAATGCCGAAAGCGACAATTGAACTTCTGAAATCCCCTGCAACCATACAGACGACTATGAGTGAAACCATGAAAGTGACCCCTGGAACACCCTGGAACCCAGACCCAATGACCCTGTAAGCCTCGCAAAGTCGCAAAGTCGCAAAGCCCCAATGACGCAACAAGAAGTCCAAGACTGCGCAACCATCAGAAGTCCTGAACTCCTCGGCCATCGCAGGCTGTGCTTATTTGCTGCGGTTCGGGGAGCGAGGCGGCACCATTCTACGAAGGTGCAGGGTTGAGATTTGCGGTTTCATGTTCGATGTAGTGGTCCTCCACTGTGCAAGTTGAGAAAGAACTCTGACCCCAGGAGACCCTGCTAACACAACACGAAATCCCCAAACCCCAGACCCCCAAACCCACCCTGAACCAACTCCAAACTTCAAAGCCTTAAAACTTAAACCCTAAGGCCCATGTCTCACTGCAGGAGGGCAGGTGTATTCCAACGAGGATCATTTCAAGGCCCACTACCCGAGCATGCAGCAGATACCTGACTGATCGCCCTGTGGATCTCAGAATGGGTCGTGTGAGCTTGAGCTTTTGTGGGTTTTCCAACACTTCGGTGGTGGGGTCAAGGTTGGGGCCCTTGGAATTTGTCACGCCCAGATGGGGTTGTAGAATTTGAGTCTAGGTAGTCACCGAAACCAACACACCCTGACCGCTAGCCTCAACACAACTGCACACAACTCTACACACAACTCGACACAAAACTCTACACAACTCAACACAACCACACCGACCTCAAGCCTCAGCTTGCCGAGGAAGGGCTTCAAGACTGCGGCCGACTGCATCAATCTGGTGGACAGCCGGCTCTCCTCACAGGAGCGCGCCCTGAAACCTCAAAGCCCTCAATATCCCTGTAGCCTGTAGGTGTCCCTATGATGGTCACAAGGACTGTAGGATGGTCCCCAAACGTCCTTGCTTCCAGCCATGCGAATCTGCTAAGCTTGAAGTCTCTCTGAACACTTTTGACCGCAACGAGGTACCTATTCGCTGAGCCAATCTAAGGTAACCCTGCTACATCCTCAAAGGGTGTAAAGGACAATTTCCACTGCCCGGATGGTTGTCGGCGGCCTATTCCCCACCCCAGCCTTGGACGGGAATTGCAAACCAGGGCTCAAGCAATCTCACGCCTCAAGTTCCTCAAAAGCTCCAAGCCTGAAGGCTCAAGGTGGCAAAGGCCTCCTCAAGCACTGCCCAAGGAATCTGCCCCCCTCCCTGTCCCCCCCTTCCCTGAAAGGAGAAGTGGGCCTTCTGGGCCGAGTGGCTCGGAGATCTCAAAACTGAAGACTTGTTTTAGTCGAAGGCTCCTCAGGCGTTTGGGCTGTAGGGCTTGCAAGTCATGCAGCTCATCTCAGTGGCTTTGGGCTGCAGTTTTAGGGGCTCAAAGTTGGGGCGAGTTCTGCTCAATTCAAGGTTGGCCTGCTTTGTTCTGCTCTGCCAAGCCCCGCTCAAAATGTACATGTCAAGTTAGGCTCGTTTGTTGGCTGCTTTGCCTGGAAGCCCCCCGAGCACACAAAGAGTATATGTCGAGTTGCGTCCGCTGGGTTCTGCTGTGGCCTCTAAGACTCTAAGCTCCCCTCACAGGGTGCATGAATCTACGCGGCCTGAACCTTAGATCCGAAGCCCCAAGCCCTGAGAACCAACAAGTAAAAAAAATCACAAGCGAAGCCGAACCGCATCTTATGGAACAGCTCAAGCCACCAAACCCTCAAGCAAAGCCCTCGCTCCACTTCTCTACTCAATCTACTCACTCGATCCACTCTACTCAGGCACATGCAGAAGAGCCGGCAGCTGCCGCTCGATGAAGCCACGGTGGAGAGGCTCCCTCGGTTTAAGGAGGGTGTGGGGGTTAAAGGCAGTTTAACGTTGTTTAAGGTTGAAAGTGTAACGTTCCAGAGATTCAGAAATTCCAGAAACGTTTGGGGTTTAGGAGGTACTTGGGGACTCCTTTGTCTAGAGTGAGGGGGGGGGGGTGGTTTACGGTCTTGCTGTCAAAGACGCTTTGATAACGTGGCAGCATGTGGCACCTTCTCGTGCCTGCCGTTCAGAAGCCCAGCTCCCCCGCAAAGTCACTGAACTCGGACAATCAGCCTCAAGCCTTCCACACGCCACAGTCGAATGTGGATGAAGGCACCCCAAAAACAACTTGAATACAATGCGGAAAGCCATGCGGTCATGCGGTTCAGGGCTTGTGGGCCACGCTCCCCGACGAACAGCCAGCTCAGTGATACTCCTAAATGGCCATAGTTAATACCTTGTGCAAGTCGCAGCACCCCTGCACCTGCAAAGGAGGGCGCTTCTAGCACCAGCACGCCCACCCGATGAAACACCCGAGAAGCGTTGAACTTTATTTCAAATGGCAAGCTTTGATTACTATGAGCAAAGGGACTTCGCTCCTTGGTGAAAAGATCCTGACCCTTGCGCCTGCGGCCCCTCCTCGAATTCAAAGCCCGCGACAGAAGCAGGCTTGGCGTTGCAGTTGGCGAGAAGGATTACTTCGTGTATACCTGCCCCTTGGATTTGCATCTTTAAGGTTCATGCGTCTAGTTTCCCTTCATCAGCATCTTACGCTCCTGAGCCCTACACTCCTGAACCAGTCCTTGCCCTTGGCTTGTAGCCCTTGATCCCGTCGAAGTTGGGTTGACAGGGTGCTGCCGCCGCAATGTAGCATCCAAGCAGATATCTGTCAAGTTTTAGGGCTTTGCGTATCTTGAACCTACTCCCTAACACGCCGACGCCCACTCCTCCACCCCGAACGCCTCAAGAAGCCTTCGTGGCATTGGCTTCCTTAACTATCCGAGCTCTACAAAGCACAGGCAACGCCGATTCCTACTTTGAGCGAGCTGGATTCGACAAGCGCCGGATCTACACTCCAGCAGGCAGTTGGAGGCCAGGTCAGGAGGTTCTGTTCGGTGATAGTGTTGAGGGAGATTCTTTGGGGTTTGCGGCTGTTCCAAGCCCGTGATGACTGTCGGCGATGTAGGCCTCAAAGCTCCCGGCTCGTAAGCTGCATGCACTTCAACATGCAGTTGGGTGTAGGGCCCTTACAAATTCTACAACAAATGAGAGATGCTTCTTGTTGCAGGGCAAGTACGTGTGCGTTTGTGGGGGTACCGGATTTGAGGAGGGTAGAACTGGAAACGTCCAAGGCCTAAACCTATGCAGGTACTACCAGTGCGCCCGTCCCTGCTCCAACGCCGCCGTTTTCGAGGCCACTGAGACCCTGGGCGGCGTTTGGCAATCTGCGTGGATACTCTTGCACCATTTGCACACTTTAAAGCTTTCTGCCCTGTGCCTTTTGGGCCAAAGCAGCCCAGGAGCTGGCTGACGGAGAACGGGCATCTTGGTCTCAATTCGCCCCTAAGCCCTTCATGGCTCGCCAGTAGCACAAAGGTGCGTAGCAACTACGAGGCTGAAGATGTTTCAGTTCGGACATCTTTCCGCTCGCAGAATGCCACTTTGTCAGGGGCTCCAGTTTGCTCTGTCAGGGAGTGCCACAGTGTATGAGGCAGTGTACCCACGGAATTGGGAGAACGTGTCCCCTTTCACACAAGCAGAGGAATGTCCGAGGCGGCTGTCAGAAGTGCTAGGTCCAACCCAGTCTGCGACCAGCGAAGCGAGGGTTTTGTCGGGATTTGGGTGTACTTGGATAGTATGAAGCTGAGCATGCTGGATGTTTGGCTCACAGAGCGTGGTTGGGCTAAGACACTGCTCGACTTGGGCCAAGGTTTGGATGTTTCCATCAGAGCCAATGCTCAGTTGCTGCTGCTGCTGCTGCTTCTTCTTCACAATCTACAGTAAGGTTGGCATGGTTGTCGTTAGACCCGCTTCCTCATGCCTGGTCGGTACGACATGCATGATGCTGGTGATGTTGATACTCGGGCCATCCGCCGTTGAGTCTTCAAGTGTGTGAGTGATCCCGGAAGTCACTTTGTGGCCTCAGGACCCACCGTCAGTCCTGCTCAGGCTTGATGAAGGAGGGTCATGTGTTTAACTATCGATGCTTGGCCTTGGGCACTTGGCCCCACATGTGCGGGGAATGCAAACCCCTTTGCTGGGCATTCGTCCAACTCGTCTTCTTCATTTGGCGAAACAGGCCAGCGCTGTCCTTCCTATCCTGGTGGGTGTAAACTTGTGGATCGAGATAGGGTCGCTAGCAAATGTTTGTGTTTGCTCGCGTTGTTGTTGCGGGTTTTTGAAGGAGTTGCTCTGTTAGTTAGTTGCGCGTCAGAGTCAGAGTGCTGCCACAGTCAATTCGGTGGACTCTTTAAGGGTGAGGGCGAAGTCTATTTGACGGGTGCCCCCGGGTGCCCTGCGATGCCCACTGTGAATTCAAAATGCCGGTTAGTAAGTGTTGGCTTTATTGGGCACGTGCGTGTTCTCGTTTGCATGCTTCCTTGAATTCAAAGTGTTTAAGGGCTGCGACAGGCGTGCAATAGATCATGACGAAAACGCTTCTGACATCTGCCGAAGTCGCAAGTGCCTTCATGGTATGCTCTAAAGAAGCCCTTCGGAAAGCACCGTGGATCAAACCCGGAATGCCCTCAGGAACGGCCGGAAGGCGCCCTCCTGTCCGAACTGCGGTGGGGAGTGCATCCCCAACGTCGCCCAAGCAATGTTTAGGGATTTCCCGGGAGGTGTTCAGCGTTTGGCTGCTGAGGAGGTTGAGGAGGTTGAGGAGGTTGAGGAGGTTGAGGTGTTGCGGCGTCGTGTTTCTTGTGTTCGAAGAGAAGGGTTCTGCGTTTGCTGAATAGTATAGTTTGTGGTGTTTAAGGGGGCTTCGAGGCTTCAAGGCTCGAGCTGGAGTTTTTAACTTGAGTTGATGCGTACGCTTTCCGGCTTCACGGCGTTGGGCATTGGAGGCAGGTTTTACATCTCGAAAAGTTCCTGTCAGATTGAGTCAGACTGATCTTGCCCCAAGAGCCGCACCGATACGCGTGCAACTGTCCTTCAGGAGGCATCACCGAGTCAGTGCCCTAGGGATTCAATAACAAGTGACAATCCTCTATGCCCCCAGCTACAACCCCCTCCCACCCCCTGCCCCCTGCCCCCCGCCACCTACAATCGAACGAAAAAGCGAAATTCCGAGGTGAGAATAAGCGAGGGCTTCTGCCATGACCAGTATTCCCGGGGGCTGAAGGACCTTATTCAGTGGCGCCCCTGCTCAGTGTTGGCGAGTTTCGGATTTGTTTAAAGGCAGTTGGGCCCAGTGTCTTCATTTTGAAGGGTTATGGTCATGGTCTGTGATAGGCGTGGAGGGGGCTGTCCCGCCCTGGAGACTCAGAATGATGAAAGTTAGTTTGCGCAGGCAACGTTGGAAGTCTAGAGAGAGCACTCTGTGTAATGCCCCACAAATCCTGCCATCAAGCGAAACCGATCGACATCTTGAAAGTTGTTGGGAAGATGTTGCACTGCCTTGCGGAGAGACAGCTCAGCTTTACACACACATATCACATGTCCATCTATCTATCTATCTATCTTTATTTGCACGGTTTAAGTACAGTTCCATTTAGTTCGCATCCATCTATCTGCGGGGTGCTATTTGCGATGCCGGGCCTGTCCAAGAATCGGAGACGTGCTGCAAACGAGGCCATCGGCCGAGTTCCAAGCACTGGGCTTGCAGCCACAATTCCGGAACTGGGGCCGAGAAACTAGTCAAGACACCGCCTGCCACCTACAATCCTCGAAAGTTTGTAACTGCCAATCTGACACGGCCACACGGCCCAATGTCCTTCACAGGGGAACGGGTCACGATCGTCGATTTTTCCCAATCGCGCCCGGCAGCATTGCCGCATGCGGACCGCCCAATGCTCTGCAACTTGTGATTCCGGTTGCCACATGGTTCGGTTTCCAAGTCCGGGCCCAATCGTGTTTACAAGACGAGGGCATTGTCGAAGAAGGAGAGGAAGGCATTGCAAGGTGCAGGGCAGGTGTGCCTCTTCAATCACCAAGCATCCAATGCAGACCGGCATACAACAAATGGAAGACAAGCGCATGAAAGGAGGCAAAGGGTTTTGTTAGCTTTCTGAGGTTGGGATGCTTGAGGGTTCTAGGGTTCGGACAAAATTGTGTGTAAGGTTTGGGTGTTGAGGGCGGTAATGGTTGAGGGCGGTACTGGTTGAGGCTCTAATTGGTTGAGGGACTGAGGGGTTTAGGGTGCAGGTGTCGACCAGGTAAGGGTTTAGTTTCACTGAGGGGTTCAGCGGCTTAAGGTTCGTGGGTTTGGCGTTTCGCAGACCACGGGTTAAGGGTACAGGAGTCGAAAGGTTTAGATGTCGAGAGCTTCAAGGGAGATGGGGCGGAAAGAACATGCCGATCTCCAGAAGCACTTAGTTTGAGTGACACTCCATGGAAGAAGAACCGACAGCCCGCGTCTCACTGCACATAGACTTCCCCCCCAATTCTGAGTGTAAGCATTCATGACTTAAGCTTTTGTACCTGGCTTATTCAGCACAGCTCACGCCACCAAGGGTCCAAAGATGTGCTGAGTCCCAAGTCAAGCTGGTTGTTCTGGAGCTGGACTCATCGCCCCTCGGCCTCTTCGTTTTCTCGGGTGGTGGGGTGTTTTGCCAAGCCCGAAAGCTCTTCAACCGAAGCCATCAAACCTGCAATCTGTTGAAAATAGCGTCAAGCCTGTTTTCGAAGGATGGTTTCATGGCTGATAAGTATTCAGTATTCATGTACTTCCCAAAGGACCCAGAGCTCATTTGGAACCTTGCAAGGCTTGCAAAATCCTGAATGAAGCCTCAAATTCCAAACCATCCGCAGAGATTAGTTGAACCTGAGCTATACGGCAGAACATGCTCCCAATTCATGTTCACTCAGGTGTGTTTTGAAAAACCCGTAACCCGCAGCCCAGCAACAAAGTGCCACCTGCTTCCCCCCTGTTTCTGCGGTCTTCAATTCACCTCGGGGCGAGCTTGAGGGCCATACCACAGACCGCAGACTCCGACACACGCCCACACGCACACCCCACACCCACACGGCAACACCCACACATGCCCAGGCACACACGCGTACTCACGCATGCACACACACGCACACCAATGTTTCTTTCCTCAAGCTTTGCACGTACCAGGTTACCATCACAGTCAGCATGCCTCAGCATGCCTCAGCATTCTGAGTTTTTTTGCTACTAGGAGCCCCTTCCCAAAATAAAGGCATGTGAGATTTCGGCATGCAGTGTCACCAGCCAGGTTCAAGACGAACAGGCTAGCCTCCTTTCCCATGGAGTCGATTGCAGCAGACATCCCCGGCTCGTGCCGTTGCAAGAATGGTTGGCAGTTGCGAGGACACAGTCAAGAAGTAGCAGCTGTCGCCTGCTGTCGCCGCAGGGGCACCCTAAACAGGTAGGAGTAACGTCAAAAATAAGTTCGTGAGTGTAAAAGCATATTCTGGTGTCTCTAATACAGGGGGGTAGAGCCGGGCAGAGTGCTGCGGGGGGACCTCCTCGAGGTCGCTGATACGCTTCAGCCCAGAAAAGTATCCCTTCGTGCCGGCGGTGCTCCAGCGAGCGGTCGGCTTGCCAACGGTGTCTTGGCGTCAAGGGGCCTGTAATTGCCATTAAAACAGTTAAAGCCTTCGCTCTCTTTGTTGACGCTCTTCTTTCTAACGCTCTTTCTGAGGCGCTCTTGGTGCCTTTGGGCTTTTTTGAGAGCCGAGGACACCTTCACAGAGCTCCCTGAGCTTTTGGAGAAGATGCTCAGCGCGGACGGCATCTTGGGCTTCGGCTCCAGCGTTCTCAGCGCTGGGGAGACTGTGAGGGTGTCGGGATTTAGGGGCATTTTGGGGGTGAGAACCCTGTGTGGTCCCGGCCGCTTCCCTGTACAAATGCAAACAAAAAGCAGGGAGAGAAATGCGTTTTGCCAGCTTGACCTGGTGAGTTCTCCGGTACATGTAGTAGGCAACCCACAACCCTCGAACGAGTCCTTAAAACCCAGTCGAGCTTCCAAAAGCATCATGGGTTGTCATTCCAAATCCGAGCCCGAAGCCGTACAGGGTCCTAGCGGAACGGACCTCGTGAAGCCCTGCAAAAGTTATAGCCCTGAAAGGGGGCCTTAGAACGGCCTTTTCAAATGCGCACTCCTGAGTTTCCAATCCCAGGCCGCCAGCGAGCTGCTGCTGCAGAGAAGCGTCTCCAGCAAGGTACGTCCACGCGCCGTACGCAGAGGTCCGGGTCGTACTCGGTGGGATCTGCATGGAACTCTTTAGGCCTGGCATTCTGACATCTTAATCGTCCCCACTCGCCTTTTCCAACACAGAACACCAAAGCTTGTAGACTGACAAAGCTTCAGTGAGCCCCGTGACACCGCAATCTATGAGCTCCTAGCCCACGACCCCTACAGCATAGTCCAGCACTCGCCCGCGTCGGCACAAATCGCACCACTTCAAAGCCAAGAAGTTAAATCGCGAATCCAGACCCCTGAAAGCCTGCAACTTCCTCGCCCCGTGCTCGCCCACAACAAGTTTCGGCAGGCAAGAGAAATCGAAATCCGTCGAGCCCATACACTGGCGAAGACGCGGGTCCAAAGCCCTGGGGTATTGCGAGCGTTTCTGCGGGAGTTTGAGATGCCGACGTTTGCAGAGCTGTGTAGGATGTCCGATGAGCTTTTGGGAAGGGATACTGGAGAGGGGAGAGTGATGTTGGGAAATGCTTTGCGGATTGCCAAGAGGCTTTTGGAGAGACGGGGATGCTTGGCATGTTGTGGATGGATTAAGCTTGGGGCTCCAGGGAGGCAGCAAATCGGGGCGGGGGGGGTTGAGAGCCGGCTGGAGTCCCTCCCCGAAATCTGGTTCAGAATTAGAGTTCTTTTTTGCCTCTTGGTGCTCTGAGTCCACCAGATCTTGACTGTTCTGTAGACATCCGTACCGTAGACTCCCGCTGCACCCCAATCCAAAGATATCCGAGCCCTAAGGCTTGAAAGCCCCCAGGCCGCCCAAGCCTCATCCGAGGAATCTTGGAGCACTTGGGCGAGGGCCTCTTCAACTGTGCTTACGAGCGCTCCATGTAGCCGCGGCAGTTTCAGAGCTCCGCTACCTTCTTGACATAAACACCCTCAGAAGCGACAGCAACAACGTGACTCAGACCCAATCCCGTTGAAGGATGTCGAGAGCCCCTTCAAAGTTTGTGGGTACGCTCTCCTTAACTCCGGAGCATTAACCTCTGCTACGCACTGCGAATCCCAACTGCTACCCAGCGGCACCCTAGCACCAGTTCAGAGGGTGGGTGGGATAGAGCTCAGAGCTGCATTCATAAAGATACAAAACATGCAAAGTCGGATGTGCTCAGCCAACTGGTTACATCTCGGATGCTTCGAACGGAAACTAGAGAGTCACGTTTGTGGACAAACCATTTGCCCGCCTCGACAGCTGCGGCAAAGCTCAGCAAACTGCCGCTGTACAGGCAAACGGAGATAAGCTTCTGTGCTGGCCTTGCTCGCCCACATGCAAACATGCGGATCATAATTGCTGTTGATTGGCACAGCTTTGTCTCAAGTTTCACAAGTCACGTTTCACTTGCACGACGTTTTCATGATGGTTGAATCAGTTGAAAGTTTGGGGCCGTCCGCAGACTGCACAAAGTGTGTCCTGCTCCCAGAATCTTCCCCCACCTAAATCCCAAAGCAGCAGGCAGGCCGCCGTAGGCAGGACAAAAACTCAAGTTTTGGGGCGTTAGTTTAAACTTGTAGGGACGAGGCATGTTTGACCCCCTACAACCGCAGGACACTGCAGGGAGCTGGAATGGCACTCCAGGTTTACATATTGCACAGAGGACTCCCCAGCAGCAGATAAAGCCGCAGTCTTTGGTTGAACAGCCAAATTCAAGCTTGCTCATCTGTGTGAACATGTATATATGTATGCATATATATATACATACATAATACGCTTCAAACTAACTGCCAACAGTTAACACACACACACACACAAGCACACACAAAACTTTGGTGTTCCTTGAAAGCTCCACGGCATGAAGTCAGTGGGCACCACAGGCACCCCTAGACCCTGCTCTGAACCCTCTGAGCCCTGCACTGACCTACGAGAGAAGATGGCGTTGGGTTGAGGCTTTTGGGGCTTCGATTCGAAGAAGGCTCTCGATAATCACTCTATCTGAATCTGGTCCCCGAATTAAAATGGAGTCCCAAAGGACTTCAATCCATGAACACACAGGCGCCTCAAGGAGTTCGAATCTGGCAGTTGCAAATGGGACATGGCCTGGCTTCTAGGTGTCAGGCGTGCATCCCTATGTTATAAGGTGTGCGTGAAGGTGTGTGTGTGTGTGTTGATGTGTGTGTGTGTGTTGATGTGTGTGTGTGTGTTGATGTGTGTGTGTGTGTGTGTGTGTGTGGATGTGTGTGTGTGTGTGTGGATGTGTGTGTGTGTGTGTGTGTGTGTTGATGTGTGTGTGTGTGTGTTGTGTGTTTGTGTAATTGTGTGTGTGTGGTGTGGGTGTGTGTGTGTTGATGTGTGGGTGTGTGTGTGGTGTGTTGTGGTGTGTGTTGGTGTTTGATGTGTGGGTGGTGTGTGTTTGATGTGTGTGTGGTGTGGGTGTGTTGATGTGTGTGTGTGTGTGGTTGATGTGTTTGTGTGTGTGTGTTTGATGGGTGTGGTGTTGTGTGTGTGTGTGTGTGTGTGTGTGTGTGTGTGTGTGTGTGTTTTGATGTGTGTGTTCTGATGTGTGTGTGTGTGTGTGTTTTGATGTGTGTGTTCTGATGTGTGTGTATGTGTTGATGTGTGTGTGTGTTTTTTGGTGTGTGTGTGTGTGTGTTTTGGTGGGTGTGTGTGTGTGTGGTGATGTGTGTCTTTTGATGTGTGTGTTGGTGTGTGTTGGTGTGTGTGTGTGTGTGGTTTGATGTGCGTGTGTGTGTGTGTGTGTGTGTGTTGATGCGTGTTTGTGAGTGTGTGTGTGTGTGTGTGTGTGTGTGTGTGTGTGTGTGTGTGTTTGTGTGTGTGTGTGTGTGTGTGTGTTTGTGTGTTTGTGTGTGTGTGTGTGTGTTTGTTTGTTTGTTTGTTTGTTTGTTTGTTTGTTTGTTTGTTTGTGTGCCTTCTGGGCTCAGGGTTGAAGACTCGTTTAACAGGTTCACAGCTTGCTGACTGTAGAGCGTCACGGTTCGTAATTCTAGAGGCTTAGGGGCTTCTGGCTCAGGGCCCCTGATTGTTCGGAGTCTTGCGATTCAAACAACTCAGGTTGGACTCGTTCGGGGCTTCGGGTGGCCCCTTCGAATCCCTGAGCCTCCTTTAACCTCTTGAAGCCCTGAAGATCCAAAGCCTCACTCGTAAACCCTCCCCAACGAATCAGCCAGTCCTCATCTCTAATGAAGAGAGCCTCCAAAGCCCCAACAAACTCTTTGGCTTCAGGGTTTTTGGGGGGGTAGAGTTCAGGCGTGTGCAGGGTCTTGGCTACGGCTACGGGGTATAGGCTTAGGGTATAAGAGTTTAAGAGGTATTCGATTCATGCCTAGGCAGCAAGTGTGCTTCGCGACGACGGGAATCGTCTGGAACTCGTGGCGGATGCAGTCGTACGGAGCGAGCAGTAGGACTTGTCGGGAAAGAGAGTCTTGCACAGCATCATCTGTTACAGTACTCTTTACTGCCTACGACCTTGCCCGTGCGGGGAGGACTGTACTTGTCATCGTCCAGTAGGCAAGTGTCAGCACACCTAACGAGTTGATGTTCAGAAAATGAGGCTTGAAGCCCCGATGGTTCGCGCTTGAAGTCTAGAACCCTAACAGGGAGCCTTGGAGCTTGCTGTCTTTGCCCGGAATTGCGAACCCTCCAAAGAAGCCCCTAGGCGCCTTAAAGGTCCTCGACAGGCAGCTGCGCGCCGCGCTCAAGAAGAGGCTCAGGGTACGCGCCCGGCCCTCGGGCATGCTTAGGGTGCTCTCGGACATGCTTAGGGGCTCTTAAGGGGGCTTTCAGGAGGGGGGCTCCATAGTAGCTTTAGAGGGCTTGAGGGTTTGTCAGGGCTTGGGTTTTGAGGGTGTACAGGGCTTCAGAGAGGGGCTTAGACGTGCTTTAGGTGCAGCCCAACCGTGGAGCCGTCCGGAAGCCCGTAGAAGCCTGGGTCAATTTTTCAAGTCTAACCCAAGTTCCTCTGAGCTGCAAATCCTGAAAACCGAGACCGTGGACGAATGGTCGCCCAAGATTACTCACGTCGTCACCAACGACTTCCGAAGGCCTCCTGGTGCATCCGAGAGCTTTCAAGTTGGAGAGTCGGCAAGAGGGTGAAGCCCGGAGCCCGCTTCTTCATCAGAAAACCCCCGGCGCCCCTCCACAGAAGTCTTTGGGACCAAGGACATGGGCCCGTCTGCTGTGGATGTTTTTTAATCGTTACTGAGCGGAAAGTATATGAAAGGCGTGTGCCCAAACAAATTTATAAGAGAACGCGGCAAGTTTAGTAAGCATCACTATGTTCACGTAAACTTGGGGAATGTTGGGGCCGAGATCCCGGGCTGGTGGCCGGCACCAGGGTCTCTGTTACGATTTGGCTGGGGCTTGGTGCGGGCCACCTCTGTCGAAAATTTGGCAGGGGCTTGGTATGGGCTTGGTGCGGGCTGGTGGCCCGCACCAGGGTCTCTGTTACAATTTGGCTGGGGCTTGGTGCGGGCTGGTGGCCCGCACCAGGTCTCTGTCGAAAATTTGGCAGGGGCTTGGTATGGGCTTGGTGCGGGCTGGTGGCCCGCACCAGGGTCTCTGTTACAATTTGGCTGGGCTTGGTGCGGGCTGGTGGCCCGCACCAGGTCTCTGTCGAAAGTTTGGCTGGGGCTTGGTATGGGCTTGGTGCGGGCTGGTGGCCCCAGGTCTCTGTCGAAAATTTGGCTGGGGCTTGTTATGGGCTTGGTGCGGGCTCTTAAACCCAATTTTAGTTATCGGGACAACCGATGTGCTGAATGAGCGTCGCTCGAGACGAAAACCGAAACGCAGTGGCCAACTTCCCGTTTTCACACGTTAGGCATTTCTCAAATAAAATATTCAATCGAGTTCGCGAATTGGTTCGGCAAAAAACGGGAGAACCAATACAATCAAAAACATTTTTCCGTTAGTTATATTCGTCGACTTCATGAAACGCATCTTTAGCCAGGAGCCATTCTTGCACGCTAGTTCTGAGAAGTTGCCCCAAAGTACCAGAAATATCTAACACCTGATCATAGTGCCCAATCTGACGTACATAATGAATCACCTTTTAAGCCATAAGGTTTCTCAGATAGTTGACCCCTGTAGTTATGTAATTTGTGTCCTGTCACAGCCTGAAATCGCAGCATCCAGAAGTTGATTTCGCGCAGAACGGTAGAATACTTTTAGATTCTTAAAGTTAGTCGTAAGGTTAGGGACCATTCGCATACTGTATTTTGAAGGATTGAAGCCACTCACGGTAGATCAATGGGGAACATGTGCGTGGGCGTGACCGGGCAGTCGCGCATGTGTAGAGTTGTGCCGTGTCCTTGCTTTCCCAGCCATGACGATTAAGAATACCACTTTGGATGTCTTGACAGCAAACAGCAGCCGCGGGCACATTTGAGATCCCATTCGCTGAGTGTTTCCTCACGGTGCAATGCTGGCCATGAACTCAACCGTGTCAAGGGCCACTGGCGATTGCTGGAATGGGGCTGTTGCTTGTAAGTCTTCTCCCTGATTGAGCCCGCGATACCCCCGAACACAGCTCATGAACTCCGCTCTGCATCCCTTGCCACCTCATCCCAGGCATCGAGTCGGTTCCACCCAGAACTCCCCTAGAATCAGGAACCGTCGCACCTGAGCTCTTGACTTTGAACCTGCATGAACCTCAAAACCAAAAGAGGGCAATGCGGTCTATACGCTCAACATTCTCCTCTGAAGCGCTTGCAGACCAAGTACCGCCAAGACGCAGGACCACGAAGATGATGTGCGCGATCTGCGCCGGATGTGAGATCGTGGTCCCAGCATACCTGGATGCGCGGTGACCTTAGTCTTGGAAGCCTAGCGTCGAGCCTGTCAGGGTTCCTGAGACCTACGCCTACTCCACGTTCTGCAGGTG